CATTCTGATTTTTAGGAATGAGTTGTTAGTGTCTCATACTCATGAACTGTTGCCTAAAGTAACTTTTGATTTTACGTAAATGTAATTCTGTGACTTAAACAGGATAATAGCTTAAATTTCTTTTTCTTAGTGGGGCCTTTTGGTTTTGACTTCAAACACTTTTAGTAACTTTAAACTTTTTGGGCATGGTATGTAAATAACATTCAAATGTGTCTTCTGAAGGGATTTTAAAAACTAAATGGTGGGTGGGGAAGGTGTTCAAAAAATCCTGTGTCTGAACCAGCATTTTTAAGTACGAAGCAGGTTCCACCTCACAGGAAAGAAAAGAACTGAAGCATAAAGCACACATGCCTATCAATTCTTTCTGAAAGAGCTAATGCCGTATCTAATCACTTCCCACTGCCGAGCTTGTCAGGATGATGATCTCTGTGCATCGATGCCTGTGTCAGATACAGTGGTTTGACCTCACCCAAATTTAGGCATGGCAGCTAAACTTTTTCTGCGTAGCACTCAAAATTGAGTTTTGCTGCAGGATTCTTCTCTTGCTGAGTAGTCTTGCATGATATATTTGACAGTTCTTACTGTTTCCTGATGTGTCACTTTTAAGTTGAGACTTCTTTAATCTGGACTTTTTTTTTCTTGCTAAGGCAGATCTCTATCTGCTGCCGTGGGTTTTACGGCCTAGGACTGGGTTAGTGCAAAAGGAAACGAATGAGTCACCCGCAGAACTTGTCAGCAGGCTGGGAGGGAGCTCCGCGGCGGGGGTGGATGGGGTGGAACAGTAAAATTTTTGACCTCACCCCTCTCCAGGCACGTGTCATTCTGAGCAAGCTTCCTTCAGAGAGCGTTCAAGAATTTTTTCCAAGAATGTTAGTTCCAGAGTTTCTTTCCTCTGTATACTAGGAGAGTATATTTTAGAAAAGAGGGTTGCTTCAGTTCTTGCTAATGTGTGATTCCACTGTTTTGAGGCTCATTTTGGAGGTCTTGGTGAATTCTTTCACTTGAAAAGCACCTTGTGCTCCAGACAAAACAGGACATTTTGATCGTGTATGGATAGAATGTGGGTCACTTAGCAGGGCAGTGCAGGAAGGGGAAGTGAAATGTGACGTACGCAGAGTGTCAGGAAAAGCCTGGCTGGGCTGCAGCGTTGTATCAGGATGGCAATTTTTATGGGATCAAGTTGTGTACCGTCAGTGCACCGAAGTGCTGATTTCACCTGTGTAAGTGCAAACCACAAGAATGAGGTTTTATAGAAGAGGAAAAAGAGGAAAATTCAGCAGCTTATGACTTCGTTAACATCAAATGTGGATTCCCACTTACAGCAACAAAATTAGTTGAGATGGTTTGAAAATACTGGTCTTCAAAACACTGAAGTATTCTTTCAATACTGACTGACAAATTAGCAGGCTTTGCTGTGCATCCTGTGCACTGGGTTATTTTGAAAGGTGATCCGAGTGACCTTTCCAAAGGTATCTGTGTTTTGCAATCTCTGGAAGCTGCAGCTGTTGCAAGCTGTTTCGTTGTCTCAGTGTAGCTAGGGCAGCACTTTTACTGGTGTGTTTTGAAGGAGATGGTGGAACTACGAATTCCTTACGATGTTATTACTTGTTTTTCATTAGACCTGTCTCCCTGAACTTGTATAGGCTCAATATAGAAGAGCAAGCAACTTGCCCTATTGAAGTATCTAATTTAGGAGTCAATGCAATGATAGACAAGGCAGCCACTGGAGATGAATATTGTAGGTGCGTTGGATTTTTACTTAAGGCAATCTCAGGTGAAGCTTCTATCAAGTCAGGAATTCATTTAACCGTTCTCTCTTAAGTAGTTAATCACTCTGATTTGTTTATGCTAGTTAATATGACTGCCCCTTGCTTACGTTTTAAGCATATTCTTGCACGTTCGTAGTATTTTGAAAGACATTCTTCTCAAATTGGCCTCATTAGGCTTTATCAAGCTCTTTTGGCGTATATGGCTGTGTGAGCATGAGAGGTGGGGAGCTCAATGCTGTTAGTTATAACTTAAATTAGTCCTGTCTGTAGGTGCAGAGACTGTCACAGCTCACTAAACTTGGTTGTGTAGATAGGCATCTTGATTGATGATTATTCCCTGGTAATTATGTTAATCAACATGAGGAACTGACTCCCAAGCATATCTAGTTCTTTTCAGATGCATGAGTGGCTATTGCTTGGCTTGTTTGTGCTGCTGTCTCTGCTTTTTCTCCTCCAGTTCCTGATGAAGCTGTTGCACCTCATTTGTAGCGTTGACGTGTTGGATACTTCTGCTGCCTTTCTGCGGCCAGCCACATAAAACATGTTCTAACTTTTTGGTTTCTCTCCATGTGCTATCTCGCTTTCTAAGTATAAAAAGTTGAAAGTTAATTGGCTGAAAAATTATTTCTTGTTTTATGTTGTGCATAGACCTGGTTACTATTGATCGTCGTCAGTTTGATAGTGCTCAGTTCTCTTGGGATTTTGAAGTGCAAATTTGCTTACTAACGCAGGGAGGAAGAAATTTTGAAGTATTTACTTGGGGAGATCAGAAGTTGTAGACAATAGGGTTTTTCCTGTTTTTCATTTTCTTAATTAGAAGCCTGGTTTTTCTTTTTAAACTTTAGCTTAACAGCAGTTGAAAGTCATAGGAGGAAGGGATATATATGTCAGTAACCAAACTGTTTTAAAAATAGGGTTATGTGCTACATAAACTTCTTATCCTTCTGGAAATCATTTTTCAGACTTAAATACAGTGCTTTACATTTTTTAATCACTCCTTAGCTATTAGCTAATTAAATGCTTCAGTAATATTCCTTTGGGGAAGGTAAGATGGTGTCATTCCTGTTCTGCAGACGAGTTGAGCTACTGAAAGTGGTTTGGCCAAGGTCAGATTGCGAGCAGCCGTGGATCCGAGAGTAGGACTTGAGTTGGTGACTCCCCCTGCCATACTTAATTTACTGGAACATGTCATCTCCATGTGTCCTTTGTTAATGACTTGGTAAATAGTTTTTACAAAAGACTTTTAAAATAATTGGGTTGAAATTCCCTCTTTGATTTGCTTGAGGGAGGAGAAGTGTAACCATAATGACTTGATTTGATACAACTCACAGTGCAAACAGCACTGGATGAGGCTCTTCCAACCAAATTATTGGTGCGGAGAAGAAAAATGTTTAAAGGATTTGTTTAAATATGACACAATAGCTCTTCCCCTTGTGACAGTGTACTTTGTAATGCTGTAAGCCTCTGGTACTGAGGATCCAAGTTTTGATCTCCTATGCCAAGATCTATTGACCACTGTTTTATTTAAATGACCTTGTTACGTCCTAAAAAGTTAGTTTTGAAACTGTTCCTGTAATGTAAGTCTGCAGGTCACTCTGTAGGACATGTCGGGTGACTGGGGTGTGTGTTCAAATGGGGGAAAACCAGGCCAGTATTTGCCTGAAAAAAGACTTTCTTGCAGCGAGTTTTACAGGTGTTGGACATATGTGGATGCTGTAGCTTCAGTCATTCTGTTCCTGGTACATCATGGCTACAGCAGACTGTAATACATTGTAACAAAGCCTTTGCTTTGAGATTCGGTAGTATATATGAGAGTTGTGACAAATGTGCAAGCATTGACAAGTGTAAGGACTTGAATATGATGTGTTTAGATGGGACTCTTCCATCTGGGGTGAGACTTAATCCTGTAGTCATTACGCTGCTAAAATACTCCAGGATTCATCTTCAAAATTTGTATTTCAGTCACTCAGAATAAACTGCGTTAAGGTTGGGGGAGGTTATTAAAAATGTCTTCGTTCTTGCCTCTGGCAACCTAATTAGTGTATTTTTTTGGCATTGAAAGCTGTTCTTTAAGGAAATAATTGCTGTTCTTTGGGTGATTTTTGACTTCATGTCAGTGAAAAAGGTAATTTTGTAGTACTTAATTTGACTATTTTAAAGTGAGGATCTCATTAAAATGTGGAGCGCACCAGAAGTTTGGGGTGTGAACTTCCACACATGTGTTTTTTTCCCTGATTGTATTCACTTGAGTGTGCCACGTTGACCTTGAGTTGCAGGTTTGTGACTTCTGGCTGCTAGTTTGGATTTTATTCAACTGATTTAAAACTTTTTCTTTAAAAAAGAAGTGTCAATAGTGATTCTTTGGCTTTATGCTTTTTAAACGCAGTGAAAAGCCATGTTGCTTATTTAGTATTTCAGCCTTAAATGAGTTGAGCTAGTTTAGGTTAGCTCCGTTTTCATCCCCCTAAACTTCATGGTAGAATTACATTTTCCATCTTTTATTGTTGTTGCTAAAACATCTATATTTTGAATCCTGTGTGTTAGGACTGGAAGTTGCCACTGTCTTAATGCCCTAGTCTGTAAACACAGATAAGGCTGAGAATAACTAAAAGTTATTACTGCTAAACGATCATTTGGTTGCTTTTGAAATAGCTGATTTCTGGAGGATATCTCCCTGCTATTGTTGGGAGTTTGGCGATACAACAATGTCGGTGGAATTTATCTGCTAGTAAAAGCTCAAATATGTGTCAGTTATACTCTTACTTCTGCTTGGACTGCTTACTTTGTTCAGAAAATTAAGCTATACCAACAATATTTTTTACATATTTGAGCTTAAGCCAAACAGGTTAACAGGTATGACTGTACCAACAGACACTTTCAAGCGTGTACTTGGCTTTGTGCTATTTTCTCCTCTTTTAGGGCACCTGGTTGGGAGGGAGGGGCCGCAGAGAGCACAGAAAGGTTTCCTTGTTCTCGGTTCCGGTGCCTGGCTGCCAGGAACAGCAGTTACAAGAAGTCCCGTGTCTCTGGGCTAGAGCTTACTCCGTGCCGAAAGAATATCCGGGATTACAGCTGTCAGGACTCCAGTAAAGACTGATTTTTGTTTGTTTGTTTGTTTTTTAAACATAGTCTCATCTAGTCTAATTTGAGTTTCTCTGGGAGGTTCAATATTTGGTGTTTCTGGAAGTAGAAGTGACAATTCCTCTTACATAATATTTTTCTTCTCTTCAGGTGTTCTGTTGGAATATACGTCGCACATTTATGGCGATTCTGAGTGTGAGGGCAGACTTCTGCCAGGCCCAGCACAGCATCCTGGCTGACAAGTGAGCTGAGTGCAGGGGGTTCTACGTGCCATAATTACTTTGCCTTGAAGACTCCAGACACAGCGAACACACTCAAATATATGGGATATCTTCTGCACATTGGAAGCATATTCCTTTTACTGACTCTAGCAAAACTAAGCATCAAGAAAACAAAGTGGAGAGAAAATCTGCCCTTACTTATTTGCCTCACCAGTGCCTAAATGTAGAACAGGCTGCCTAGTCTTGCATGTAGTCAGAATTTTTGGAGTCTGAAGGATACCACCTGCGGTAATTGAGGCCGAAGTTGAATTCAAGTGGATTCTGAAACAAACCTGCTTTTCTAGAAGCGAATTCTTTAAGGAACAAACACATCAAAGCAAGCTCTGATCAATCCCAGGCATTTTAGTGGTCTTTTTAATGTTTTCTGCTGTGAAACGTTTCCAAGGTTATTGATTTTTTTTTTTTTTTTTTTTAATTTTATTTTTGGCCCCTTACACATTTTGTTTGCCATTATGAACCGTCCAGCCCCCGTGGAAATTAGTTATGAGAATATGCGTTTCCTGATCACTCACAACCCAACCAATGCAACCCTCAGCAAGTTCATAGAGGTAAGGCAGTCAAATAAAGTATCATCCTTCTTTCCTTATATGCTCATAGTTTCTGTAGAAGTACTGAACAGTCATTCTTCACACCTGTTGCTCAATGCTTTGGCTGTATGTTACATGTTACTTGAAATGTAAGGCGTTTTTATCTCTAATATATTGTTCACAATCTCTTGACAGTATGAGAAGAGAATCCACCGATTACTTTTTCCAAAGTCCTGGATTTCTTTAATTGCGAGAGGCTGGATGAGCTTCCATTTTAGAATACACACACACCCCCTCACCATCGTTCTTGTCCTGGTTTCTGAAGGACCGCATGTTCTGCGATTCTAAACATTATTTTTCATTAAATAATGCAGTGCTTCTAATATATCGATCTATTGCTCATCTTTTCGCTTTTAAAGAAGTAGTTAACAATTGTAACTGGTTTCTGACCTTTCTTCTCCCTTAGAGTAGGATTAAGTGCAATATTTAAACTGATGTTTTAGTTTACAGGATGTGTTCTCAAACTGCCCTGCCAATCCCAGAATTGTGAGAGATTTCAGGTGCCAGAATTTATCGATGAAAAATGACATCTGCCTGGGTCGAACTGTGGGAAGAGTCAATTACGATGGGCAGTGGATCCCACCATTACTGACACAATAAGATCTTAAATATGGCAAAATTTTATATTCAGATTTCTGAAAAAGTAACAGATGGTATCATCAGAGCAGTAGTAGTACAGTGTATTTCTGCATTCTAGTTTGCACCAAACCTGCTGTATCTTTGTGCCCTTATATCTAGAGGACTTTTATCTTGTGCGTGCAGGTCTTTTTCATTCCAAAGAGATCCTGTCATCTGATACTGATGTCTGACTGTGGCTATTAACAGACTTCCATCATTTAGCAGGGTGCTCTTCAGCATGAGTCTGCTCAGATATTAGTGGCTAATTTTGTCTGAAAGCCACATTATTTCGGTCTTTATATATATTTTTTTCCCATTATTGTGGATTGTGTTCCTCTTTCAGGAGTCTTGACTCTGGAATAGATATTACTGCTAATTGTTAGAAGTTACAGTGATTCATTCCAAACATGAGAGGAAATTCTGCTTGCTGTATGAACCTTCAAAGTGAACTGGAACAGCTTTTGTTTGATCTTCTGATTATTTATCTAGCACAATGTGCTACTTATAGTGCATTACAAGGAAGCTAGAGTATGGTGGTGTGTGTGTTCTGTTCCTCCCTGCCTCAAAATGTCAACACTGGCTGAAGCAAACAGTTCCAGGCTTCTATTTAAGAAGCTACATGGAGAATATAAGCAGCTATTTTAATTTTGCTCTTATATATGCAATTTTTTTCCACCTTGGCGTTTCAGTGTTTCCTACTTAGTCCTGTCACTTGTAACCCTTGTCCTTACGTAGGCCACAAACCCCCCTTTCTGAGTTGGCCCTTGCTCCTTCATTGTGTAGTCACCTTGGAGCTGTGCGACAGTCGCAGTACCGCTGACCTGTGTAAAACGTTTAGTTTTGTGGCTGATGAGAAAGTTCTTTAATTCTTCACTCTGTCAGTGTGCTCACATGTTTTCCTTTTTCTTAAAGGAGCTGAAGAAGTACGGAGTGACAACCTTGGTGCGAGTTTGTGATGCCACTTATGATCAAGCTCCTATTGAAAAAGAAGGAATCCAGGTTCTAGTGAGTTGCCTTTAAAACTGTCTAAAAATGAAAAATCACTTGTCTAAAAGTGGTGGGGATGGCCTTTGTGCTTTGGGCAAGAGTTTATGACTGTTTCAGATTGGCCAAAAGCAATGTGATCCCCTGCGTCAGCTAAAGCTGGTTTTGAGAAACTTGCTGTACTTTTGTGAAAGGTACTCGCTGATGCATTACGATCGCCTGAGCGCTTAGAAATGTCTATTCCTGGATTTCTGGATTTGTTGAGCTATTTTGGTTGCCTTTTAGTGATTAGGTCGATACTAATCCAATGTTCAGCCTTGTGGTTCGTACAACTCGGTTTGGTCCTTTTCTCTAGATACAGCACTTCTTGGCTTTACTGTTGACCTTCTCAAGATGCAGATAAAACTCCCTTCTCTCGCTTTTTCAAAAAGTGCCACCTTTTGAGGCTATAGCTGACACGTTGATACAGGCTTCCATGGACTGGCTGTAGCAGGATATTGGATCGATAGCCTCATCACTGCTCCCCTCTAAATGGAGCCTGGCTGCTGGTGGCTTCCCGGTTCGGCAGGTGGAATTCCTTAACTGCTACTCAGAGTTAACATTATGCAACGACTGTCTGACTATATCGTCTAGTATTCCTTTGTGTTTTAGGGGAGGTTTTTTTAATAGGTGTGTGCTCATACTAAGCTTGCAGGCAGTATTTTTCCAGGCAATGCTTCTGAATTATTATAATGTGTCAGATATAATCAGTTTATTTTACTGGAATGAGTAATACTCTGTTGTGAGGCCAGAAATTGCTTCTTACCTTCTTGTTGCAGGTAGTCAGTCTTCTATTGCCTCTTGATTTTTATGGCTCAGTTGGAGGAAAACTTCTGCAGTTTTCCATTAAGAGAAAAACTTGTATCCTGGCATATCTGTGAAAACTCCACGTACAGGTCAGTCAGGTTTCTTGGCTGCTGGCCCTAGTAAGCATTTACTCCAGTTCCAGGCAGCCATGTGTGCCTCAGTGTTGTTGGAAAAATCACTCACGACAGGACTACCAGTGCTCCTAGGGCTGCGCTCTGGAATAGCATTTTTGTTCGCTCTAGAGCTGTCTTGGACTTGAGCATCACAGTATTTTTGGGCACGCTGCTGTGAAACCTCTAGCTGTGATACTCATAAGGTTGCCAGAGACTGGAGGGATTAAACTTCTGGTGTGGAAGCCCTCAGAGCCCTGATTTAAGCTGGGGCTTAGAGTATTTCTGTGTTCCTGTGCCAGAGCAGAGATCCGAGTTCTTCCTAGAAGCCTTAGGACAGTTTTGCAGGTGTCCAGCTCTGCCAGGGTGGCTGCCTTGTGAGGCCAGCTGACCTTGGCTTCCGCAGCTGTGAGCGAAATCCACCTTCTCCGGTCCATGGCTGGGGCCTCTGGGGCAGCTGCAGGAGCTGGGGAGTGCTATGTGCTCTGGAGCCTGCGATTCTGAAATCGTTCGGGGATTTTGGTTCTCAAGAAACTTTAAAAACTTGGTGTTGGCTAGGTTTGAACTGAAAGCAGTTTTTTGAGGAAACTTTTCTAAAAACTGGAAATGCTGTTTCCGCCAGCTCTGCTAAGCACCGTTTTGTTGGAGAGCCTTTTGCTTTGAGTAACACGTGCTAGAGTCTTGTGTCTGTACACATTTGCCTCAGCTAACGAGCCTCTTTCCGTTTGGTGCATACCAGTTCTTGCTTAGTATTCCACTGCTGCAGAAGGCAAAACAGGAGAGAGCATAAATCCGCCAGGCATCTGTTAAGGGTAACAGAAAGCAGGAGGTGACAGGGAGGGTTTGCTGCTAATGTCATCACTGATCCTGATGATCCCAGTCATGAGGTTGTCTTAGTAATTTACTGTATTGCAACAGTGTTTTGCTATTTGAGATAAGTTTAACTAGTCACCGACATGACCACCTCCTGTATCGCTTTTCCTTCCTATGAATGCATGCTTTTTCAAAGCAGAGTCCTGGTGCTGTTCGGAAATGGTATTTAATTACCATCTGGCTGAGAAAATAACATGTCACTATTTAAAGCTAATATTTGCTTGCAAAAATATTATTAAGAACACAGCCTGGGAGAGATTAGTGTCTATTTTAAAACTGTTGAGGTCAAAAGCGTAGTGAAACCCCTGAAAATGAGAGCATTTTAGCAAAGCCTGCTCTCATGCCGTGATAGAGGATCGTGTACTGGCAAGATGGGTAGAATGTGGCAGCTAGAGAGTTGCTTTGGCAGATGGCGTAGTGAGAAAGTAGAGAATTAGATGTTCCATGTTTGAAGTAGTACTATTGCATGCGCATGTTTATCAACAGAGATTAAATCCAGGAGACAGGAGGCGGGGATGGATTTCGTTTCTGTGGGCTTCTGCAGTTCTTACAGTTATGTTCATGTGTAAGGTCTTGTAACATAGAAATGCTACATCGGAAAAACAGTTAGGTTTTTTTCTGGAAGTATTTTTGCACTGGCTGGCAACCAAGGAGGCTGCGATAGTTTTGTTCATCTTCAGGATCTAAGACATGTTTCATTGTTCTGCTTCTATCAGTCCTTCATTTACTGTTCATCCCTGAATCAGACTTTCTTTACCCTCTGTGCCCTCGGGGATGGCCACCGCCTGAATGCTAGCAGGCAGTGGGGAGTGCCCATGTTAGAGATGCGACTTCATTGCCATCTGATATTTGTTGCATCGCCACGGGCTCTGGTATTGAAGGTGGGAAAGTTCCACGCTGGTGGCTGCGGTCCCATCCTACGCATATGCAGGCAGCTCTGGGAGTGTTTTGCTGCTGTAACTTCAGAGCGAGTTGCACACGCGTTTTGAAGAAAGGGGTCTTTGTCACTTTAAAGTCCTGTTACTACTTCTTGGTCATCTCAGTTCTGCATTGCCAATCCTGCAGTCGTTGCTGACTGACAAACCCAGAGCTGTTCTGCTGAATAAGGCTGCTCCAGATAAAGGGTAAATAAGAATAACCCTTTCCTGCCTATCGTCCTACTAGCTGCTGCAGGGTGGCACAAAAGAGCTGTATTTTCTGTTTGTGCGATCTTAGTGCATGATCCTCATTCTTAATGACTGTTTTGGTTGTGGAGCTTAGCAATTTGTTTTCTATCCTGTCCAACAGGAATTCGGAGGTAATGCTGGCAGAACTTGTAATCAGGAAGAAACTGCAAAACTTTGCTGCAATTACTCCTCCAGTCCCAGAATTATTCTCGTTCCTCATTCTGGGCAGTATCCCATGCAGCAGTGTTTTATCAGTGCTAATTTAATGTCAGTGGTGTACCATTCCTGGGAGGGTGATGATCTGTGGGGAAATGACAATTGTCGTTAATTCAGGCAAGCACAAGAGTTGTGTGGACACGATGGTTAACGTGTAAGCTCAAGCAATGTAGTAACCTCTGAATTTGGACTGAAGGAAAGGATTTAATTTAATACAAAACTGGGACACAGAACTGACATGTAAATCCTGTTCTTTGCAAGGCACTTTCAGATGAAAGCATCTGGCAATGGGTAATGCCTCTTTTCTTGGCATTACATCTCTTCCTGGGACAGTGAATGACATTAGGCCTAAAATAATACAGCTAGCATGGTGCAGTTGAGTGGAAAATCTCGTAAAAGCCTTTCATTAGAAAGAACATGTTTTACTTCAGGATCTTGTTTCTATAGTCTTTTCTTTTTCTGTGTTGTCCCAGATACTTTTAATTTCCCATTTGCTTTACAAAAGTTCTCTGCACTTTTCGACTTTGTGTATCTTTCTGAATTAATTGCATATAAAGTTATTTCAGTAACTTAAAAGGTTTTTGGTTTTGTAGTTCCGAGATGCAAATTTCCACCTTGCAGCTTTTTTAAGTGCTAACACATTTATAAGATACTCTTGGGCAAGTCTGTGCTAAGCTGTACTTGCTATTCAGGAAGTATTAGGGTAGCAATAAGTGCATTTCAAAATGAAGAGTCTCGCGGATTTTTACCTTTTGGTTGTACTTGTTCAGAGTTTCTGCGTGCTTCTTTCAGGCTTCAGAGAACATTACTTTGTGTTAACCTGTTCTCAAGATACTACGTGAAAGACTTGTTTCTAGCCAATGAGGGAAGAAGAGGCCTCCGTTCAAAGCAATTTCCCTAAAAAAAGAGAGGTGGTTGAATAATATGGAACTCTGGCTATGAGTCTCTCTTGTAAAATGCATTGCAGTCGTCTCATGAAAAGTGCTAAATAACTACTAAGTATTATTTTTGCCTTTGCATCCAGGAGTGCTCTTTCTACAGCACTCCCTGTGTCTGAGGAGATTATAAAGCATGTGATGTTGTGCTTGGTCTTGAAATATAGGACATGTAGTATTCCACTTAGCACAAGTTCCAGGAGAGAGCTGTGACCTCGAGAAGATGGGAAGCTTCTCACATGTAATTTTGTTATACAGCCGTGTTGACGATACTAAATGTGGCCTAGGCAGTGTAAATGTTGGCTACCCCTTCAATAGGCAGAAAAGTAATTGTAAATGCTGATTAGTTGTTGACTTTGCCTTTGTCTAAGCACCCTTCTTTTTTGCTTGTGAATGTGGGGTTTTGACTTGAAAATACCCAGGTAATTTTAACTGTCTTGCTTATTGGATGCATGGCAGCTGGACAAGCTGATCCATTTGGGTTGTTATGAAGTACCTTCTCCTCTGCTGATCCCCTTGAATTGTTATGAAGTACCTTCTCCTCTGTACAGAGTCTGCATTACAAATAGTATTTTTAAAAGGTTGACACGGCCACAGGCAAAAGTCTACAGAGTTCTCATCTTTCCAATGTTTATTTGAAATGTCTATTGATTTTTACATATTTTTAATAAAATGAGATTTCAAGGGCAGCTATTTTTCTAAAAATTCTATGCTACAAAGGAGTTAGTGTAGAGTTTTATTGAAATTTTATTGAAAAGTGCAATTAAATGGTTGTTAAACATTTAGCATTGCGTTGTGATATTGACTTGCAAACTTCTGTGCAACCAGAAAAATACCCACAGCACTGTTCATGTAATACGCACTTCTTGCTGAACGGAATATTTTCCTTCTCCCAGTTATGGTTACCTTGCTGTTGATTATGAATTGAAATCCATATAGCTAGTGTCCTTTTTTCCCTTTAAAGGACTGGCCATTTGATGATGGAGCACCACCCCCGAATCAGATAGTTGACGACTGGCTAAACCTGTTGAAAACCAAATTTCGTGAAGAGCCTGGATGCTGTGTCGCTGTTCACTGTGTTGCAGGGTTGGGAAGGTCAGTATTCCTTGTTTTTCCTTGTCTTGTTTTTATACTGGACTTAAAGTAAATTTGTTTGGGAGGTAGGTCATGGAAGGTCTTAAGTAAATGGCAATTTCTCTGTTTTCTCCCAAATAACACTTTAAAGCAGCAGCATCAAATTTGTGTCATTAAAGCAAGAGAGACTTATTGCAGCTTAAAAATTCACAATGAGAGATCCACAATGAGAGGATAAACTTGGAGAGGTTGTTCAGAACACTTCTGTCAATCATGAACAACACGAGCAGTTAGAGATGCTATTAATTTGAAAGGATAGGTCTTTCTGCTAAAACAGTAAAATCTCTTGTGCTTCTTGACAAATTCCCTATACATGTATAGTACAATTTCTAAGGCTGCACAGTTGCTTTTTTAATTTCCTCCTGTTTTCAACTGGTATACTCTTAAGCATGTGGTAATAAAAAAAAGGCATTTAGAAAAACTGGTTCAATTACTTTCTTAGTCTAAAGTGGCTTCACTTCAGTGGTAAGAAAGAGTTAGGCTTGTATTTCTTGCTCACATGCAGGTTGATGTTTCTCTCCTTACCACTCAAAATATAACTTCCTTCTTTGGGACGAACTTCTTTTCAAGATGAAATAAAAAAAGAGACTGATTTGGGAAAGCTAAGTGCTACATTCATATTCCCAAATGTAATCTCTGAATGTTGTGTTATGGGCTAGGAAGAAATGGAGCTTAAGTGTTAGTATTCTTACTAAAACCATGGGACTGTTAATATTTAAGGATATGAATGAGTGGGCGAGAAAGGTGGATTAAAGAAATCAAGTAAGCGCAGTTGGAGTGCATCAAGTTCTTAAATTTCCGCCTCTCGAGAAGAAGAGATGGGGGAAATGAAGAGGTAGAGGGAGAAACGGCCAATATTTAAAGACACAAGAGCCAGAAACCCAAGGCAATTAACATTTGTTTATCCATAGCTCTATTTTTAGCTGAGGAACATCTTTAGGAAGGTGGCCATGTGCAACTCAAGTGTGATTTGTTTTTTTTCTTCCAACTCTCCTGTTTCTTGCATAATGCCAAGCCAAAGAGTACCAGAAGCTTCCTATCTTCTGTATGTCACATAAACTCGTGTTGTGTATCTGTTCCTTAAAGAATGACCTTTTTGCTGTTGTTCTCAGACTACTTCTGGCAAAGCAAAAAGCAAGAGCTTTACAGATTTTGCTTTAATCTGGAAAACTGTCTACCTGTAGTAGGGAATGGAACTTCAAGGGTAATAAAATGAGACAGCATTTTTTTTTAAGTGACTTTTGAGGTTTCAAATTGTTTCCTTTGGAAAGTGAATAATTCTGTTTATGCAGGTGCAGCATGGCAGTAATAGTGAGAGTTGTTTCTCTTGAACTATGTTTTTGTTTAGCCATGAGTAAAATTGCTAGCACCTGTTTAATCCTCTACTACTGTACTGTCAGAGGTGCCTGTTGCAACTGTGTGTGTTTAGTGGAGTGAACATCAATCCAGAAGGAAGTCAGTGTGTAGTGTGATTTTGGCTTGTTTCAAAAGCCAGCTCTTTACACTTAACCGATTTCCAAAATGCGGACCCCAAAGTAGAAGGTTTTACTCCATTGTCCCTGGAATGCCCAGTTCCGTGTACAGCACATAATTAAAAAAAGAAAAACCTATATAAGTCATCTGTTCAGTGCTTCATAGATCATCTCATGTACAGCTGAATCTATGGTGTCATAAGAAGCAAAAAGCTTGCAAGAGGTCTTACACACTTGTTTTAGCAAAGTAGAAAATTAGGATATAGTGAAATGAGAAAGCGTAAAAATCTAGAATTATTGTTTCGTGCCCCAAACACTAAGGAGCTATTGATTTTTTTTTTTTTTGTGTGTGTGTTGGAAACAGACCTGTCTACTAAAAGGAATTTTACATTAGGTACTCAGCAGGCAAATGTCTTTCTGTAGATAATGCTTAAAGAGAAAATGCTTAAGCTATTGTTTATAGATTAATTTGATGTATTTTGAGGGGTTCAATATATCATTTCTCCAGATCTTCCTTAAATACTGATTTCTCCTTTAGGGCTCCTGTACTGGTTGCACTTGCTCTCATTGAATGTGGAATGAAGTACGAAGATGCAGTTCAGTTTATAAGGCAGTAAGTTAAACTTCCCCATTCTCAAGAAATATCTCAATTTATGTTGATTTGAACAGCATGCATCTTCAGCAAAGACTGTTGGATTTCTGATTTGTTTTCTAGTAGCTATATCCTGACAATAATGGGCATGACTTTGACATTAATGCTGAGGCTTGTGCCCTTTCCTCTGTTCAGAGATGAGGATTAAAAGGTGATATCTCTCTCTCTCCCTCTCCCTCCCTCTCTCTCCCTTAAAAAAAATCTGCGCTTATATTAAGCCGTTGACCTAAGACTCAAAGATTTTGAACTTGGGGAGAAAAAATGTCTATTCTGGGGCTGTAAAAATCGTGGATGAATTGGACAAGGACTAATTGATCCTAATTTAAAAAAAAAACAAAAAAACAAATTCTAGTAAGTTTGGGCTCCCAAGCAGAATTTCTGCAGCAAGTAGGCGAGCACCAGCATTCCTACAGGTGTTGTGGGTGAGTGTGTTATCCACCCAGGAGATGTCAGAAACCACCTGTCTGGAAAATAACAAAACTTATAAATGTGAGACTGCAGGGCGCTGTTGGTTTAGTGGTAGCATCAGATCTTGAAATGAAGCCCAGCAGGTAAAATTATGTTGAATAAGCTTTGCCAAAAAAGCAATTCATCCTTTTATGGATTCCCAGGGTCTTCAGTTATCTTTGTAAACTGTATTGCTGTCAACAGATTTCTCTGAATTTTTCCTTTCTTGAATTCCTTTTTTCTCTTCCTGGGTATGGTGCCTTTTATGGCGAGAAGCTCTTTCCTGAGAACGTCTTATGTATTTGTGTCTGAATGTCATGGTCTTTATTTACTAGCTAATATAATAAGTAGCACATGCATCTGCAAGGAAAGGGTGACCTTGATGTTGTTCAGTGACTGCTGCAGGCAATGGAAATAAACTCTCCCAATCCAAGAAAATACACTGAAATTTTCTAACTGGATTTTGATTTTAATACTGGCATGTAGGTGATGAACAGCATGTGCTGGCCCAGTTTATCCTTCCTCAAACTGTCAATGGATACGGAACCAAGCCAAAATGCTGTTTTATAGATACAGAAAAGCTTTGAAACGAGGACTAATCTGCTTTAGAATGCATATGGTGATTGAAGCAGTACTTTTTCCATTGATATGAGCCTTCATTCTCTTTGTTTTAGGAAAAGGAGGGGAGCTTTCAATTCCAAACAGCTGCTTTACCTTGAGAAATACCGACCTAAGATGCGATTACGCTTCAAAGATGCCAACGGTCACTGCTGTGTTCAATAAAAAAAAAAAATCTCAGACGAAGGCAGAAGTTAGCATGGCTGTTTTCTGGACTCTTGGCACCTGGAAATGTGAATCTGGAATCAAACTACGTCATCAAATTAGTGGTGGAGTCAGTGCTCCTCAACCTCTGTCGTAATGGTGGTGGTGATTGAAAAAAATAAAAATAAAAAAAAATTAAGAGAAACATTTCAGTGAAGGATTGTTTTCTCCTTAAGCTGCAGTTTGAACATCTGCAGGGAGAAAATCAGTTTCTGAACCTTCTGTATTTTTAACTTTTTAAGAAAAGAAATAAAGTAAATTTTATGTCTAAGGAAAACCAGCAGAGCATTGGCTTGTGCAGAAACTATTTTCTTGATTTGAGGAAAGTACCCCACAGTTAGGGCCTGATACATTAATTCCTATGGGACTCTTTTAAATGGAGTTGCCTTTTTTTTTTAACCTTGCTGGGACCTGGCAGAGAGGCATGAGGAGGAGCCTTTGTTGCTGTATGGGAGCAGTCTGACAGCCTTAAGCCCACCCTGGGCATATTCTAGAGATTCGGTGATGTCTGTGTTGTATGTCTACATGGTGTTCAGACTCTGCAGGTGTGAAAAAACTTCCTGGTGGGCTTTAACAGAAGACTCACTGCCTAATATCTTTGGTGAATCTGCTAAAGGCCTTTTACGATTGGTGGGAGATAGTGCTTTTAACTGTGTGAGTGTATGTATGCATGTGTGTGTGACTTTATATGTGTGTATGTCAGTCTTATTTTTCCAAAGAATTTGGCTGAAATGTTAATTGTCTTTCTGTTGCTAGATAGAAAATCTATCCCGGCAGAAGACTGATGTTCAAAAGTGTCCTAGGTGAGCAAGGGGCAATTCGGACAAGGACTTAAAATTAATTTATCTGTCATAAAGAAGAAGAAAAGGCTTTTTGCTGCTGTCCAGATTCTTTGCCTTGCTGAACACAGTAAATCAGGATTTGGGGGGAGGGTCTCATTTGTATTGTATATGAGGTAAAGATGGTACGCACACAGAAATGCGGTCCATGAATAAATGCCTAGTATGGGTATTTCCCCAGACTAGCCCTCATGTACAGTTCAGTTTAACCACTGATTGCCTTGTTATTTTTTTTATTAGGCTCTTTTGGAGGGAGAATCTCTAGTTACACACCAACATGCCTATCATGTATTCACCACTGGCAGACCGTAAACATGCTGATTTTTGGAGTTTGGACTGGCACCATGTTCTCTTCTTAGGGCCATTGGTGTTGTCAGTGAATTCATCAAGACAAGTCATTTTACAGCCTGTAATAAGCAGTTTCAGCCAGGCTACTTCTACCAAACATGTTAACTTAGTGCCCTGCCCCAGTAGTGACCTCATATGCTTTCAACTTGGCATTATGTCTGTAATATTCAGCCATTGAAGGCTTTGAATACAGGTTTAGGGTCATGTTCTCCTGTGATCTTTTGCTGTGGAGCACCAAAAGCTTGTGTTGGTCTGTGCCTGTAGTAGGTGTAGACTGGTACCCATCTTTTACTGATACCTCAGCTGCTGGCAATGTGAGCTGCCCTCACAGGATTTCTTCCTTTTCTAGACTTCTCGTTTTAGTCTGCAGCTTAACTGCGCAAACATTTTCAGAAGACAAGTAATGGACTTTTAGAATTCTATTCCTGGAAGGGATTTATAAATTTAAGCAAAAAATAATGGTACTTGTCAAGCCCCTCACTTTACAGATATGCCAAGAGACCTGTTTGAGGTCTATGGCTAGAAAACGCTGCACTCCGTGAAACTTGGTCTGTACCCTGACTCAAGCTGTATTGTTGTACTGAGTTCCTTCCTCCCTTTAAGATGTGTGACGTTTCTGATTTCTTTAATAGATAAAGGAGACGCGAAAGTGTTTGTGATGTCAATGCCTACATTAGGGAAATAACATATCTGGTAATGTTCGAGTCCATGTGGAAGGTAGATGATGCTGAAATTATCTAATTCTGGCCTTTACCTTCCCCTCGCAAACTAGAAGCCTAATGTTCTAACTGTTTCTGCAAATTAAAATTGATGTCTTTAGTAAAATGAAATACTGGTAGTTAAAGCCAATTTGACAAATGATGGAAGTCAGATTGGAGGGGAAGGTGTTGAGCTGGATTAAAAACCAAACCCCAAGCCCTTCTGAAGAACAATAAAAAAAATTTTACATGCTATATGTATAACTTTGCATTCTTCCCCCTAGTTTTACTCTGATTTATAATGTACTAATTATCATATACTATGACTCCGCAGCCTTAATTGAGGAAAAATAGCGAAAAGTGCAGACTGTCATACAGTGTAGACACAAATGGGGGGAGTGTAATTGTGACCGATGTCCAGTAGGCACAATACTTGGTTCAGCACTTGAACGTAGTGCAATAAAGCTCTTGCAGTAAAATGTCTTCCCTCTGGCTCTTGATGAATTTATTGCAGCTCATTAATGTTAAATGCTCTTCTTTAGTCTGATTTGTAAAGGCCTTTGGACAAGTTCGTCCCTGCCCCTTGTATTACTAATCACCACTGGGTACTACATGGCTTGGATTTGCTGGTGACTTGTAACTGTTGGGAAAGGGTGTTCAACCTTTGAGAATAGGGAGCAGTGCTGCAGACAGGAGCTGTTTTCTTACTTTCAAATTACCTGTTTAAAAATGTGTAAACGTACCCTTAAAAAAACAAAACAAACCCCCAAACCAAACAACAGCTCTGAACTTGCCCAGGAACTGTCAGAGATCTGTTGCAAAACTTTCTTGTGCCCTGGACAAGACTAGACACCATGCTACCTGGCAGAGCTTGAATGGGGTGATTGTTTTGGGGTAACAATGTCTCAGTTCCCCTTCCTTGGTGGTGGAATGCCACTGTGTTGATTTGTATAACTTGAATAATACTAAGGTGCTATTTTCTGGGCTTCACAGATTACAATCCAATCGGCTTTGCTTTGCTGCCATCAGAGAAACATGTTACTGGCAAATCGGTATCGTGTTTCTAATATTTATCAGATTTTTCCCACTAGTGTACTAGAACAAATTTTTAGTCCCTGTTGGCAATGAGTTAATAAACCACTTTGACCGTGAGACCGGCAGCAGTAACTGTGAAGTTCCATCTCCTCTTTCTGTGAGGATGTCTTTGTTTGGTTTTTTTTGTTTTTGTTGTTTTTTTTTTTTTTTTTAAACACCAAACGCTTGCTTTGTTTGTTTTCCAAAGTTTCTACCTTTCTGGTTACCATGCACAAAAGCTAAATGTCTTGCTAATCAAAGGCTGCTCAATATAAAAATACCATGCACTTAATTGGAACTGAAATATTCCTGTTTGATATGAGTTACTTGTTTCTCTTGTTAATTTTTTTTTCACTAACATCTAGGCAGCTTCAGATACTGATACTTTAACTGGAGATAACACTTAATCATGCATATTTATATCACTTAAGATGCTACTTTTAGAGCAATTAAGAATGATAAGCAGAGTGGAGTGACTGCATGGGGAAAGAAACTGCAGGAATCATGGTTTGCACTTCTATAATAGTGTATGTTCTTTTAACTAAAAAATTATAAATCATTTAACTTAGTCTTAACGCTTGTAAATAAATTCCAGAGAGCATTTTAAGTACATGTTTCTTGGGGAAGGGGAAGATTAGCTTTTTGTCAGTAAACAGATCTGAAGTAAAATGTTAAGGTTACTGTCAAACCTGCTGTCTCTCCAGATTTGTGTAGTGTCACTGCTCTAGACAACAATGTTCATGTGCATGCTAAAGATGGCCAGAGCCTTGGCTCTGGGTTGTGACGTTCTCCAACAAAGACAGAAGGATACTTAGGCACTTGGAGCACATGGTTCTTTGCAGCCGAGCTCTGTAGTAAGTTAGGAGGCTCAAGTAAGTGGATTGCTGTATTCATCTGTATGTCCTGGAGGCTGGCCTGCCTGAATTTGCATGAGGTAGTCCCTTGACTCCTCTATGGAAATGAAGGTGTCAAGGAATCCTGTCTAGAACTGGATTTATGTCTGACTAAGTCCCAAAGGGACATAACGGGTAATGGCTTTCACAGGTGTATCTGGGACACCTTTCATTTTAGGCTGTCCGAGGGCTATGTAGACACCGTTACCTTGGTAGCCCTATGTTAAAATATTTTTGCAAACCCCAAAACCTTTGGTATGGAGCTAAATCTTAGGACCTTCCCTTGTTCTGACTGCTTGTTTCATCAGAACTTAAATCACCATCATCAATGAAGGAAGTGACGTAAGTGAAGTCTTAATTGTTTTGCATGCCGCATATTTAGTCTAGATCCTGCTACTACTGACTGGTGGGACAACATCAAAAGGAAAACTAGGCTATCTCATGAAGTTACTGGCTGACAAAGTTGTTGGTGCAGTTGCAGAAAGTTGCCTACATACCACCCAGGACAGGAGCTCCACTTCTCTTTGGACCACTGAGCAGATCCTCATGTCAGGGGGATGGTTGGTGGCAGGTAATTGAGCACCTGAGCACTTTGCGGGGGTAGTGGTGTGACTGGCGAGGAGCTTGCCTCTCAAAGAAACAACTGTGGGTGAGATTTAGAGGCTGCTAGAGAAGATGCTTTGTTTTGGCAGTGGCTGCAGCGATACTGGCAGGATAGCTAGAATTTGAGGTGGCTGTCTCTGTGCCCTTTCTTACAGGGCTTAACTCTGTAGCTGGAGGCAAACGAGGGACACCGGGAGCCAACGCCAGAGGAATATCCCTGATGCAAATCTGTGGATGGATTAGAAGAGCTCAAGGGGGGGAAAAGAACCAGGTAAGAAATCGCTTCTTCTCTGTCAGCAAGGGAAACCAAAAGCACTGAGGAATAACGTGAGTCCTTTAGGGCTGCACGAAGTCAACAGAGGGGGCGAATCTGGTCCCAGGATGTGGGACGTCCTCTGTGGCTCCCGAAGCCACTTTGCTGGGAAGCAGGGCTGAATGCTGATGACTGGAGTCCTTTACTGAAACAATTCTCTCGCTGACAAGCACCCTGAGGGGATGTGCATGCAGTCACTTGGAGGATAGGATGGTGTGAAAGGCCCCCTGCTCCCAGCAAAGCAGGGAGGCTGGGGCTACTAACATCTGCAGTGTTTTGCAGAGAATGGAGAGCACAGCGTGAACCCCGGGCTGAAATAATATTC